TAGTGTTTACCAGGATTTCTTTAGTATCCTTCGAAAAGGGAAAATCAAGTGAAATCTTTTGTTTGTACCTCCTGGATTCTTAAACGTAGGTGATCACATTATGTGTTTATGTTGGATATTATTTGTATACATTTTAGAGGTTTTGTCTTTACTACCAGGACTGAAATAACACTTTGAATCAGTTGAAGGAGTGTTTGTATGATTGTAGTATCAGTGACTATTTGTTATTCTTTATGGCAGTGGAAATGCTGTTTGAGGAATCCACATTTCCTGTAATTCCTGTGATTGTTGGGCTGATTTCTGGAGTAGTGCTTCTTGACTATTCTTATTTTTAGAAGTAAATGTTTTATTTTGTCATTTATCTGTCAATTTTGTGTATTAAACTCTGGATACGAGTTGTTTCAGCTGCTTCATACTGTATATTTTAGCTTGAGCACCCAGTTGATAGTGCAGCTTTAAAGTCGGCTTCTTTGTCAGTGTTGGTTTCCAAAGATCCCGGATGGACATCAACATTACTTTTATATCTGTGATGACCTGCTCTCAACCAACATAATCATTTACATTATAGTTTATTGAACCGTCAGTAATTTGTATCTTAATTATTTCATAGTTATGTATTGTTAAAGTATTTCTGCTGTAATGTTCCTAATAAATGTTTTAAACAGGAACAACAGTTTCTTTTGGTTGTTCTTGCTTTTTGACCAACCAGCCAATAAGAATAAGGTCACATCCACCCCAGATGCAGTTCTGACCCTCATCCCTGTGGTGTCTGTTATCCCTCTCTCTTTCCCATATTTCCCGTCTATCTTCAGCTTTACTATCTAATAAAGACGAATGCTAAAAATCATCCTTGAAAGAAGTTATGGTTGTTACTTTTAGTCGTTATCTGTCAAAGACGTGAAGTTCTCTACCGTTGAAAATATAGAAATACAAATTATTAACAATTTCACCTTTTTACAGCATTGCAGCTTTGTGGCAGAAAATAACCAAGGTCCTGCATCCCATGAGCAGCCATTTTGTTTTCTTCTTGACTTTAAAAGCAGAGCTTTAAATGTTACACATTATTGGTAGTTTCCTTTTAGTAGTTTACTCAATCAGTATTTACAAATTACCCCCATACAAGAATATATAAACGTTCTATTCAAATTATAAATAAAATATGTTGAGGGATTAAACTTGTTGAAAAGGTTTAGGCTGACTCTGAAGCTTTCTATACCTTCTCTTTTTAACATCAAATATACTTGAAGTCGACCCTTTAACTACTAAGTTCACTTCACAGAAACAGTTTCAAACATTTCAAACAAAACAAAATGAAGTTCTAAAACATTTTATACTAATCAAGTAGGCATTAAAAACAAGACACAACCAACAGTTTCAGTCTTTGATAATCATACTTTTGTTCTTATATATGATGCTATACTCTATATGTATATATCTATACATTTGGTGAAGCACTTTGTAACCTTGATTAGTGAAGTGCTATATAAATAAAGTTATTATTACTATATCTTTTTATCACCTTCTTTTAAACATGTTTTATGAGCTTTGAGCCTTTATTTGTTAGGACAGTGGATAGCATCAGAAACTTGAGAGAGAGGGTAAAATAGTTGCAAGAGTAGCCACATGTCGGACTTGAACCAGGGCCGCCTGCTTGACGGACTTCAGCCTCTGAACATGGGATGCTACCTCACCGCTAGGCCATCAGCGCCCTTAGGTTTTTTTTTCTTTAAATGAGGAAATTGAACTACATAATTTAAATTAATTATCACAGCTGTTCCACACGTTTTATTAACTTCTGTTTGCACTGTAACTTCTTCTTGTGCATTGAAGCCTCTCACCAACAATTTTCTCTTTTTCTCTTCTGCTTTTCTCATATACGATTGGTATACTTATAAAATGTTGGTATTAATTGCTACTTAATTGTCAACAACAACATCAAGCTGCTTTCATCACATGAAAGGTGCTATATGAATAAGGTCACATCAGCATCCACTCGTTGTTAATACTACCTTAAGTTGTTCAAAGTTATAAATACTGTGAATTCTGCTGCTTCAGTGACATCATGTCCGGCCTGAGTGAAAGGCGGGCCTCCTATAGCAGAGGTGTTAATACAGGAAGTGGTCAGTCAGCCTGTACCAAGTACCGACTATATCATGGGGAAATTCAGTTAGAGCACGCTGTGAAAGCTTTAACTGTTCCCTCAGTATTCTCAATAAGAAAACGAGTTACAGTCAGTACTAAAAGAAAAACATCTAGATGGTAAATGAGGCAGAACCTAAAGTAACATGTCAGATTAGATGAAACATATTGTTATCTTTTTGTCGTCTTTTTTCTGCTAATGAAAACAACCTGAAAACATTAAAACTTTGTCATGGGCAATAAGCAGTTAGTGTTTCCCGTGTTGTGGGCTTCAAACAAACTAGAAACTAGAACTCTAACACAATGTGGGAACATTTGCATGTTGAGGTTTTGCTTCTTTTTTTCACCATCTTACTGTGGCTTTAGTTTTTTGAATTTGAATTGTTATTTTAAAATGATTTACTGAGAGACATGCTTCTCACACACATTGACCTGAATCACACACATGTTCAAACAGGACCTGTGGACGTGCATTAGTGGAGAGAAGTCAGAGTGGGGCTGCTACACACTGCTATGCAGGCAGTGCACCAGATCAGTCGTGGGTTATTATTTATTAATGATCATGTGAATCATTAGATGGCATTCTATTTGTAATTCTGCCACCAGGGTGTGTTAGACAAGGACACTCATATATTGTGTATTGAAAATCATTGTTTATTTTGTTTATAAAAACACAACATAAATAAATATAATAATATAATATATTTGGAATAACATGCAGCACATAGAACACTAGAAATGTTAGGTGTGTATGTGGTCTTAAAGTTATTGGCATTATGTTTCATGGATGTGCAATAATTAGTTATTAGTGCCATTATTTATTTATTTAACCCCTAACAGAAGCCATTTCACATGTAATGGAAATACAGCTTTCAAACCCCTTAAAATGCACTCACTTTTTTCCAAGACATAAAAACTTTGATCAGATAAAAAACCACAAAACCTTTATGAAGAACATCCTGTCTGCTCAGGGGAAGTGGAAACAAAAGGTGCTGCTCTGCTAACCCTCACTTTAACTTCCTGAAAGCCCTCCAGAGGATGACATCAAATATATCAGGCTCGTCTGTTCATCTCTCCATCTGTCTCCAGTCTTCTGCTGCCTGCTCATCCATCCATCCATCCCTCCATCCCTCCATCCCTCCATTCATCCATCCATCCATCCCTCCATCCACCCATTCATCCATCCATCCCTCCATTTATCCATCTATCCACCCATCTCTCACTTCATTCATCCATCCTCCATCTTTCCTTCATCCATCATCCACCATCCTCCATCCATCAATCCATTCCTCCCTCCATTCATCCATCCCTCCATCCATCCACTATCCCTCCATCCACCCATCTATCCCTCCATCCATCCATCCATCCATCCATCCATCCATCCATCCATCCATCCTCCATTCATCCATCCATCCATCCATCCATCCCTCCATCCATCCATCCATCCATCCATCCATCCATCCATCCATCCCTCCATCCATCCATCCATCCATCCCTCCATCCATCTATCCATCCATTCATCCATTAACCATCCCTCCATCCATCCATCCCTCCATCCATCCATCCATCCATCCATCCCTCCATCCATCCATCCATCCATCCATCTCACCCGTCCATCCATCCCTCCATTCATCCATTAACCCATCCATCCATCCCTCCATTCATCCATCCATCCATCCATCCATCCATCCATCCATCAATCCATTCCTCCCTCCATTCATCCATCCCTCCATCCATCCACCATCCCTCCATTCATCTCTCCGTCCATTAATCCATCCACCCATCCATCCATCCCTCCACCCATTCATCCCTCCATTCATCCATCCATCCATCCATCCATCCATCCCTCCACCCATTCATCCCTCCATCCATCCATCCCTCCACCCATTCATTCATCCATCCCTCCATCCATCCACCCATCCCTCCACCTATCCATCCATCCCTCCATCCACCCATCCATTCATCTCTCCCTCCATTCATCCATCCATCCCTCCATTCATCCATCCTCCATCCATTCATCCACCATCCCTCCACACATCCATCCATCCTCCATCCACCCATCCATCACTCCATTCATCCATCTCTCCATCTTTCCTTCCATTCATCCATCCATCAATCTTTCCATCCATCCATCTTTCTTTCCACCCATCTATCCCTCCATCCATCCATTCATCCATCAATCCTTCCATCCATCTAACCCTCCAGCCATTCATCCATCATTCATCCATTCATCCATCCATCCATCCACCTATACCTCCATCCATCCATCTATCCCTCCATCCAGCTATCATTCCATCCATTCATCCACCCATCCCTCCACACATCCATCCATCCCTCCATCCACCCATCCATCACTCCATTCATCCATCTCTCCATCTTTCCTTCCATTCATCCATCCATCAATCTTTCCATCCATCCATCCATTCTCTCATTACCCCCCCCCGTCTGTGTTTGTCCCTTCATTAATCACAGTTCATCCTGAAGGCTGCTCTGTATTGATTAGTTATCCCTCTTTCCTCTTTGCATTCCTCTTCATTCCTGCCAGCTTTCTGCTCCGGCCTTCATTACCGAGCTCCAAGGCCTTTGTAGACTCCCGGCAGAATAATGTATATTAATAAGGAAGCTGTTTGTTGTCAATGAAAGTGATGAAGTAGTGGACAAACAAGCTAGAGGTGTTTCAGCTCCTCGGTTCTTCTTTTAGCTTGAAATGGAAATGACCATTCTTCTAACTTACAGGTAAAGACATTGGTTTGCATCCATTCAACATTTATATAGCCCCCCCCCCCAACAACACCCTTATGACCCACAGTCTCACACTGCACCTGAATGCATCTTCGTTAATTGAAAACCAAAAGCTCCGCCAACTTAGAAAACATCTTTATTCACTTTAAACCAGTGCAGTCAAACAAAACATCAACAGAAACAGACAAACATGGAGTAGCACTGCATTACACAAGTCAAGGTCAGTTAAAGGTCGTAACACCTCAGGGACAAACAGCCGTTTCCATAGCAATGAGGCTTCTCTCTGAGCGTCTGTGCAGTCCGACGTGAGGTTTTTTTTTATACATGCTCATGTTGTTATCTGACAAGCAGAAGATGAAGATTTTCTGTGATCCACAGAAGAAAGTAACTGCTGCGTTTTGTTTTGCCTGTTGTGGGGATACACTGCCACCTGCTGGTGAGGAGGAAGATGTGCAGCAGTAACATATTTTATAGAATTTCAAGCCTGCTCTGCTGTCAAAGGAATGGATTTTTTTTTTAGCTTAATCTTTTAGCAAATTTACATTTATGGCATCAATTTCCTAATATTCAATGAAGCTTCTTTTCTTCTTTAGATTTAGTGTTAAAATGTGACCTTTATTCTCCACTCAATTTGGGGTTTATCTTTTCGTAACAGACAAGACATTATATTTCTCCAGAGGCCAAAAATATCCAAGCAAAACATCAAATACAACAACAACAAAAAAAAAGTTTTTTAAAAAAAGGAGGGGGATATTGAATTATGAATACTGAAGAAAAAAAACAGGAAAATCCTTTCAAAACGTACGTCATAGATTGGTGAAATGTTTCCAGTGTTAGATATCTTCAATGATCGACACAAATGTCCAGTCAGCTCAGCACATGTGAGCGTGTAGCCACTGCGTTTGAGTCAGGTGAAAGAAATGTAATCACACACACTTAGTTTTGTATACGTGCGTGTGTGTGTGTGTGTCGGTCTGACTGTGTAGTGTTTAGGAGTCGTCTCCGTTGGCGCTGTCCCCGTCGTCCTCTCCTTCCTCCTCCTCCTCCTCCTCGTCGTCCTCATCCTGCCCTCTGCTTTTCATCTGAGAAGTCCAAACATCACTCATTAGTCTTTAATCACTCGACACAAACGAGATATTTGAATATTTGTTTTTGACGTATAAAGAGCAGAAGGGTTTCAGATTACTGCCCACAAGAAAAGAGGATTCTGGGATATTATCTTCTGGCACTTATGGACATAACGGACTCACTCATCAAACTTCTTTTTTAAATTATTTCTGGGCTTTTTATGCCCCTATCCTTAGAGACAGGACAGTTTATAGTCAGCAACCGGAGAGAGAGAGAGAGAGAGTGGGGAATGACATGCAGGAGGGGCTAAAGGTCGGATTCGAACCTGGGCCGCCCGCCTCGAGGACCACTGCCTCTGCACGTGGGGCGCGCACACCAACCGCTTAGGCCACCGGCACACCTCAATCTGCAAATTAATCAAAAGACTGAAAACTACTACAAACAACCAGTTTGGTAAAAAAATCACTGTTATGGGCACTAGTGGCCTAGTGGTTAGTTTGCACTCCCCATGTACAAAGGCTGAAGTCCTCTCTCTCTCTTCCCATTTCCTACTCATAAAGTCATAAAAGGCCCTCCCCCTCAACAAAAAAAACCCTGTTATCTGGACTCCTCTCCCGCTCCTCACCTCGTCCTCGTCCTCCAGCAGATCTCCCTCCTCGTCTGAGTCCTGGCTCTCTCTTTCTCGTTTCAGGCTGTCGTCTTTCTTGCTGGAGGTAGACGAGTTCAGGGAGGACAGCTCGCCGGGTTCTGGTTTGCAGCTCTTCATCTCTGAGTCGATGTGAGCGGAGACAACGGATGAGAACACACAGAAACACAGGGACTGACTAAAGCGGGGTTTTGATCAGGAGCCAAATGAAAACCAAAAAAATCCTAATCTGAAGTCTTTTGGTTCATTTATTGGTTTGATCAACCCGGACCTCCTCACTTCTCTGTCCAACAATCACATATTTCCCTGTCACGATTCATCCCAGTGCAGTTTGAGTCACAGAGAATATCATGCTACTTGTGAAAAGCCATGAGTCCAATTATACATTTGACATTTGTGGGGACGGTTTTTGCTTGTTTTTTATCGTAACTAAGCAACCACAAACATATAAGAAGACTGAATGTGTTATCAGCGGCTTAAACATGAGTTCTGTTGAGATGGGGGTTCAGACTAGACGGGGGGACAAATATGAGGTGTGGGGTTTCATGTGGGTCTTGTGCAAAGAAATGAAGAGTGTGCATTGTGGGAAATTTAACTGAAGAAACTTTTTCTACTTCAGTATTGTAAATTAAGCCAAGAAGCTGAATAAAGTGTCTTTATATTAGACCCTCCTCTTCCTCATCCTACTCCCTCCTCCTTTCACTCTCCTCCTCCTCCGCTTCCTCCTCCTCCTCCTCTTTCCTCCTGCTCCCC